ACCATGAAAACAAGAAAAACTTAATCTGTAGCAGTACCAAGTAGTTACTGTAAAGCCAAAAATGAAAGACAACATCAAAAATTTAAATTTTCTAGTTTTTATGACTTATATAAAAAATGGAGGGATAGAACAGTTAACAAAGAGTAGAACATGAGCAGTCAAGAAACAGGTCACATGGCTGCCAGGGGGTGGGGAGTCCCCGCTCCTGGGGTGGTAGGGTGGCACCCCCTGGCTAAAAAGGCACTAGATCATGGCAGAGAAGTTGTTCAACCCCCATTTCTAGTTTAGGTTGGAAAATGGTCTCCATCATCTCCCACAGGCAAAAAAAAAAAAGAAGAAAAAGAAAGAAAGAAATCCAAAGAAATCTGACTATAAGAACAGAAATGAACTCATTTGTTATTTCAATTGAGATTAAGAACCACAACTGGGCTGTAGCTTTACCCAATGATATGCTCAAGAGATGATGGATGAAGTGGTTCCAAGTAAATAATTCCTCCATTCTCTTTATTTTGGCTGGGTATTTACTTGAATTTCAAAATATTCCCCTTTTGCCCTGCCTACCTGTGGCCTCACTGGCCTACCTGTGGCCTCACAGTGCAGAATGAGAGGACATAGATGTCCTCTGTACCATGATGCAGCGAGGACTCTAGGCTGCACCACCCAAATGACACAGTGCAGAATGTAGGTTCCAGGCGGCTCAGTACTTTCGAGCAGAACTGGCTCTAAATTTATGGCACAGTGCAAAACAAAAAGGCAGGTTTTTTGTTAAAAAAAAAAAAAAGTGTTTCTGGCCCTCCCTGATGGTGCAGCGGGTTAAAGCACTGCACTGAAAATCTAAAGCCACTTCCGCATGAGTTCGATTCCCGCCTGCTCCGGAGGGGACCCACATGGTGCGCAGACCTCTCCTGACCCACCCGCTGCTCCCCTCAGCAGTGTACTTCGTCGATCTGCCTGTTCTGCTCCCCACTCTGTCTCTGGTGAAGCCTCTCACCGCCCCTGAGCCTCTGGTCTGTACCCCAGTTCTGTATGCACAAATAAATAAATCTTTAAAAAAAAAAAGTGTTTCTTAAGGGGGACAAGAGAATTGAATTAAAGCAAGCTTGCAGCCCCCTCTCAACAAAGGGCCTGTCAGCATGCAGGCTGCTTGTTCCCCTGCCCTACCTCAGGTACAGTGCCAGTGACATGTGGTCCTTCCGAGGAGGTGCACAGTCAGTGCTGGTCCGATCTCTGTCGGTCATTATGTGTCCTTAGACAACCGACTTAGCCTCTCCAAGCGCCCAAGGGGTTATGTGGTTATAATCCAGTATTGTGAAGGCTAAATGCACACAGTGTCCAAAGCACTCATTAAATGGCCGTTACAGCAGTCTTGTTCAGTGAAATATGCAGGCAATTATCAACACAGTCAGCTTAAGAAATGAACTGCTGAAACACTTACGAAAGAATGAGGATGCTATTCTAGGAAAACCAAAATAATAAAAGGACGACGGAGATCAAAGCTCTGGCTTGACTCTTCTACCTCCTCAAGCCACCTGCTATTTCTCTCCTTTCTTGTACTGCCCAGTGTGCACAGGGTGATCTAGACACTCTCCATTTCTTACCTGCATCACTTGCCACAATCTTTTCTGAGCTGGTGTTCAATATCCCCTTGCCCACCCTCCACTGAACTGAAGCTATTAGTTTCCAAAGTTATGGATGATTTCCTCCTTACTAAGTAAGATGGATGTTTCCCACTTTCTCTGCACAATTTCATATCACCAACCCATTTTTCTAGCTTCAAACCCTCTCTTGGCTTCACTTCTGTGCTAATACACCCTCAGGGTTAATAGCAGCTTCGATCAGCCTTGCACCTATCAGATACACAAACAGTGAGAAAACATTTGCTGATGAATAAATCATAAGTCCCCTAGTTTTCTGATATGACTTATTTTTTATCATTATGTCCCCATTTATGCTCCCTACCTCCCCAAATGTGGATAATCTTCAGGCCTCAATCTTTGGTCTGCTGTACTCTATTTGTGTGCTATTACCACTGGTGAACTAAGTTAATCATGTGGCTTCAATTATCACCTTCTATAATAAGACTCCTTGACTTCTCTCTTTTGAACTCTAGCCTTCTACTTCCAGACACCTTTAAGGGATATGTCCACTTACAAGTTCCACTGTCACCTCATGATATCGAGCCCTTCAATGCTCTTCTTCTCCCTCAAACTGGCTTTCCTTTCTGTCCTAATTCTGTTAATCTTGTCACCAATGTGCAAGGCTGTATTTGATTCTTCCTTTGTCTTGTCCTCCATATCCAGTCAGTCATGAAGTTCATTTCTCCTCTATGTGCTTACTGGACTCATCTCTTTATTTTCATTGCCATCTCTTAATTCAATCCTTTATTTTCTCACACCTAGACTATTTAAACAATCAAGTAGCAGGCTGTACAGTTGTCTTTTTATCCCTCCTAAGGTTTCTTTTCCACACTGTGGTTGAGAATCCTCCTAAATACTTTTACAATCCTACAACCAGGAGGAGAATCCTCCTAAATGCTTTTACAATCCTACAACCAACTGTCTTCAGACTTCCCGTCACACAGGCTAAAAGTCCTATTCTTTAGCTCAGCATTCAGTGTCTATAAAATCGCTCTTTGACCAAACCTCCTAATTTTCCAGCTCCGCGACTGAAACTTTGCTATCTTGACAGACTGGGAACACTATGGATTGACCCCTGAGAACTTCCCTCCATATTCCAGCCCTGTGTTTTATGAACATCATTTTTTTCTGTCTAGAATTCCTTTCTACCTTCCTTCTCTCCACATAGCAACATTCACCAAGCCTCTGAAAAAGTCTTCCTTGATAATCATAGTTCTACACGGTTGTTCTCTTTTTTCAACTCCTATAATGCCACATGCTTAGCACTTCGAAGATTTGCTGCATTACTGCCTTACCTGTAACTGTCACACCATATGAAGTAGGTGGAGTTATTACAGATGAAGAAACAATGTCAAACAACTTGCCAGAGCAACTGAGGAACTGTGATCCAAATCCTTGCCTAGCTGAGAATAACTCGCATGCTGCACCACCTCTCATTTTGCTGTCCCCTCCACACCCCAAACACAGCAGGGTACTTACTCACAAGCAGGTGCTCAGTAGACAGGCTGACTGGGAAGAGTGCTCACGTAGCACTGAGATTCCCTAGCGCTCACAGAACCGGCCACCTCAGCAGGGTACATCAGGCAGACCTCCCAGTTTCACCTTCCTCACATCATATAGTCCAAGATAAGGGATTTGCCAAAATGTACTGTAAACCACTCTCAAAATAAATGTTGGTGTGAGCAAAGCTAAACGACTATTAAGTGATTCAAACACTAGGCGAGTTTGGGGGGTGAGGTCTATGTTACAACTCTTGGCCCATCCTCTCTGTTTCCAAATGATCAGAAAGTAAAAATAGGCTGGCTAGTTGACATCTTGTGAGGTAAAACACACTATTTATAGTTCCAGAGGTGGATGCTACGGCAGCAGAACAGGTTTTTCTCTGCTCTGGTAGTTAAGACGTCAGCAAAAGCAGTCCAATGAAAGCATCATGGTAGAAAGCAGGAAGAGAATACTAGTGAGGAGGCAGTGAACTGAAAGAAGAATGTACTGGAAATGGTCCACTGAGCGGACGCTGCCGCCACTCCCCACACAGTAGCCGGCAGCTGTCAAGCCCGGCCCTGTTCTGCGCACTGGCACTACATCCCAGTGGGCTCCATCACTTGTGTGATGCACAGCCTCGTCCTGATCTGCCTCTTCTGCCCCCGCCACAGTCCAGATCCTCTCAGTTTCTCATCTAACTACTCACAGGTCTGACCTCACCGATTTGACTCTGAGCATTGCTTCCCAGTTGTGACCTTACTGTATGGTTATTTTCCTCTCAAGGTATGGTTTAGGTTTGTCCTCCCAGATGACACCTCCAGGGCTACACATTACGCTTAATTTTTAGGCCCTTTAGCTGGGAGTTACTATAAGCAATCCCTTTCCATTATCCTCGACATTTATATGGAAAGATCTGAGGGTCAGAGACTAAGAGTGAGGATCAGGAAAACTGAGGAGGGGGGGGAAGGGGAGCAAACCAGTGAAACACTATGGTGGGAAGTAGAAATTCTAGGTTACTTTTTGAGTTACACAATGGAGAAAGGGGAACAAAATCAAGGCTACCGTCTAAGTCCATTTCTTAGAGCTACCATGTTCTTTCAGCATCTGGGTTCTGTTTCTTCTGCTTTGGCTGCCCTTCCTGTCTTTCCCAGTCTTGTCTGCAAGGGAAACTCCTATTCACCCTTCAAGACCTTCCTTAAACTCGCTCTTCTCTGGAAAGACTTCCCTGTCCCTCCGAGGCAGTTAATTGTTCCCTCCTCTGTGCCCCCACAGCTCTTTATATTCACATCTATTAGGCTGTTATGACTTTACTGGCAATTTTATTTCCATCTCTCCCACTACTTCTTTGAAGACAAGGACTAATTATCTTATTCATCTTTGCATTCCCAGGATGCCTAGCATATAAAAGTGTTTGTTGTGTGATAAAAGACATCAAGAGCAGCATGAAGTGCAATTTGCACTTCACTTGCAAAAATCAAATTGGTTCCTGGTACTTTTCATGTGTAACCACGTTTTCCCCTTGATTTAGAGGCAATGGCTTTGATTCATAAAGGAAATTCTATTGACATTGCTGGCACATGAGCCAGTTTTTCATCCGTGCTGGTGACAGACACATCCCCCCTCCCCACACTTCTGAGAAACTCCCAGGGTAAGCTTAATATTGGAGGCACATGGCCCATCCTACCATTTCTATTGTGGTGAGAACTGAATTACACCGTGAGCTACCACCAGTCTGTGAAGCAGTGGTGGTAAGGGGGATCATTAAAAGAAGACACTTTTGTAGCAGACCTTGGGGGTAGGGGGGTGGGTAGTGCAGGGAAGAGATCGAGGGAAGAAGATGAATTTACACCTTGCCTTAGAAGAAATTTATCAAAAACTCACGCAAAACAGCCGCTTCTTCTGGACATGACAGACCCGATCCAGGTGTCCAGCAGTGACCTTTTCCCATAAGTGTCTGGTCAACATCCCAGCTCAGAAAACAAGGGGCCATTGCCTTTCTTGGGCACCCTCCTTCTCAAACCTGGCACTTCTTGGCCTGCTTTTCCTTTAGGGGATTGTCCTCTCCTCCCAGCACCAACAATCCCCAGCTCCCTACGCTGGCAGCCCCCAGCACCAGTCTTGCTTTGGTCCTACTGCGGGGCCCCAGCTTGACTCTGGGCCAGCGGCTGGGCTGTCAGGCCGTGGCTAGGAGTGGGCGCCAGGGTCAGGCCCGACCCTCGGGTCTCCTTGCATTCTGCGAGATGAGCTGAGCTGAGGCATCGCAGGCCGCGCCAGGCCCTCTGCGTGGAAGGAACTCAGCCCCCGGAGAAAGCCGGCCAGAGCTGGTACTTCAGTCTGTCCCCCGCAGTGGCCCGCAAGTCCTGGCTCCGGGGCTCTCCCGCCGGCCGCCTTCGTTGCGGCTGGGTCCCGGCCCTGGGCACCCGTGGCCAGTCGGTCGCCGGCCCAGAGGGCCGGGTCCCCGCGCGGGCCCCACGCCGCGGATCCCAGGTCAGGCCGCCTGCCGACCGGCTGCCCGTACCCACGGCAATGCCCCTCGTCGCGCGACGCGGCCCGGCCGTCGCGCTCCGGCCCAGCCGTGACAGCTGGGTGCCCAAAGGGTTAAGCCAGCGGCGCGGCGGCCCAAGTCCCCCCGCACGCTGCCCGTCCGCAGCGAGCCAGCCCCAGCGCGCACGCGCCCGCCCGTTACCTGCGGTCGCGTTCGCGCTCCTCCTCCACCTGGCCGCTCTCTCCCGGGGGCCGCCCCTCAGCCCGCCCCCTCGGCTCGGCGCCGCGCACCCTGCTGGCTACTCGGACACGGCCTGGGGAGGAGGGGCGTTGGGCGATTACCATATATTAGCATACCAGCACATGTCACGTGGCCCCTCCAGCCAATGGTCACTCTGGGAAGGCGGGGATTGAGCTGAACACGCCTAGGTGCTGCTCCGGGCCTGAACCGGTGGCCATGGCAACGAGGGGGGGTGGAGCGGGGAGGTATTGGAGCCCAGTGGCCCCCCGGGAGCATCTCCCCTACCTGAGTTCCGGCACTTTTCCCACAACGAGGAAGGAGAGAGGTTGAATCTGGCTCAGCTGAAAAATATTTAAATCCACAAACATTTCTTGAGCGTTTACCACGTGCATAACACTTTTCTGCAGCATATGATTCTCCTGGTAACCCTGTGATGTTAGTACCGTTAACCACACTTGATAGAAGGGGAAGGAGGCTCAGGGAGGCTAGGTCACTTGCCCAAAGCCACACTGCTAATGAAAGTGACAAAAATGGCGCCCTAAGCCTTTCTGATTTTAGATCCAGGACTGTTGCCAGCAGGGGTCTCCAGCACTTCCTCACACTTACAGGTACACCAAGCAGCTGAGAAAATCCTCACACAATCTCTGCACAGTGTTTCAGTATTTCTTTACAATGATTTTTGAGGTTACTAGGTAGAATAGTTATGCCCATATTGCAGATGAGGAAAAATAAGGCAAATAGGCATTAAAAACTAGTTCTTATTTAGTAAGATTTATAGATACACTCACTGTTTTATAAACTTTAAAGTTCATTATTTTCAACAGGGTTATGTGAACCACTTTACAGATGAAGAAATGAAGACTTTGGAAAGTTAAGCAAATTGCCCAAGTTTCACAGCTAGTAAGTAGCAGATTTTAGGGTTCAAATCGAGGTTTATTTGGCTCTAATGCTAGTTTATGGTGTTTCATTATACCAGGTTCATTTAATTTAGGCTTGTCTCTAATACAACTTTCCTCTTCTTTAAGGATGTGACTATGCTCTCTCTTAATCCTACAGCAAATTGTCATGTGCTGGTGATATACATTAAAGTCATGGGGGCTAAACATTGAGAGAGAATGGAGTCATCCCTGCAGGAATACGAGCATTTGCAAATTCTCTGTCTCTGCATGTTTATCATTTGGAATTTGATAGTCTGCCTTAAGGCAGAATATTTTAAAAGCATAAGTGTATATAGATTTTCCTTTTGCTCCTTCCTTTAGGTTAGCTCAGTGATTCTCTAACAAATTATTGGACAAGATCATAAGCCTCAAGACAAACATACTTAACTTTACAGGCATTTTAAGGGATTAACAAAGGTAACTTTGGATATATATTCATTTTACCTCACTGGACTAACTTAAAACCTATTTCTTCCTAAGCTGTGACTGAAGCAGATTTGCTGGGGCTAAAATCCTGACTTGGCTACTAGCTGTGCCACCTCGGACAAGTTAATTAACCTCTCTGTGCTTCAGTTGTCTCATCTATAAAACAGGATGGTAGGTGAAAAAAATTAACTGAATTAATGTGTAAGCAGCATCTAGCACAAGCTCTACCTCAGAGGTAAGATGCTGGCTTTTATGACCCTGGCGCTTTTATAGGATCAGACAAACCCACCTGTACAGAATCTCTCAAGATTTCCTAACTGGCTTTGGAATTCTGAACCTGCTTCCCATCCCTCGCGGCATATTAAACAGCCTGTTGTGCTGGGAGAGGCTTGTTATCTCTCCAGATGACATTCTCTCTTCTTAGGATCATAAATAATTCCTGGACTCAAAGGAGCTGGTTTCTCCTGCACATTTCCTAGCACCAAATTACCGAGTGGCTCCTTGCAGAAGGGAAGCTTGACAAACAGTGGAGCCATAAGTCAGGCTCCTTGAAACACTTTTATGAGTGCCTTAATGAGGGAGAGGAACTTGTCCCGTCCTTCCTGGCCACAGGAAATGAGCTCTTTGCACTCAAAGGGTTTCCAAAGCTGAGGCGCAAGGAATTTTCAGGAAGTGGGCCAGGGGATGAGAAGCTGTTGACTCAGAAACACAGAGCTAAACAGCCGCCATCCTGTCATTCACCTTCTGTGGGTCAAATTACTCACCATCTTATTGCAGCAATAGCACCAATATGTGGCTAATATGTGGGGGTGTTAATCTTCCTCCCTTCCTCTAACATGCATATTTCACCAGCCAACTACCACTGCACCTGAAAGATAACACAGTACTGGCGCTTATGAAATTTGTCTCTGGAGTCAAAGGAATAAGTGTGAATTCTGTTTCTGCTACTCACTCTCTGTGTGACTTGGGAAAGTTGCTTAATCTCTCTGTTTTAATTGCTACATTTACAAAATGGGAATAATACAGTTCCCATTTCTTAGGTGGATTAAGTAAATTAATAACAAAGTATTTAGAATACTTTGCAGTAAGCAGTAGAGATGTAGGTGCTAATTTTTTTTTTAATAATAAAATTTATTTTTATATAATTTTGTGCCTTTTTCCACCTCAGTTGTAATCTCCATGGGCTTCCCATCACCAAATCACCTGTGACTAATTATTTTTTTAAAGATTTATTTTTATGCATACAAGAACTGGGGTGTAGGCCAGAGGTGTGGGTGGTGAGAATATTCAGCAGAGACAGAGTGGGAAGCAGAAAAGGTGGATCTACAGGGGGCAGCAGGTAAGACAGAAGTCTGCTGGGCCATGTGGGTCAGCTCCCGGGCCAGGGATTAAACTCAAGCTGCAGTAGCTGGTAGTAACTTGATAGTGCTGAAACTTTAACTCTTGCACCGCTAGGGAGGCCCTGTATTAGCTAATTAAACAAAATAAACATACAAATAAAATCTGAACAATGTACTTTCTCTAGAGGTAAGCACAGTCTTAAGCAAAGTGCTCTAGTTCTTTCCCAAGCATATGGTGTTCTACTACCCCTACTTGTGATTAAATGTTGCCCAGGAATATGTGCATGGCCTCTAGTTTGAATCCCAACTCTGCCACATTTCTTGTTGTGTGAACTTGGCCAAACTTCTATCCCTGAGCCATAGGTACATTGTTTGTGAAAACAGACTAACTTGCGCAGGAGTCGTCCTGAGCATTCACCCAGGAGTGCTGGGACCTGGAGTTCAGAAGTCCTGCTGGAGCCTAATCATCTTGCTCTTTTATGGAGCTATCTTTGCTCTCTGATAACGAAAGTAAGCTTTTGGAGTACTTAGCCTGGCTGGCTGCTATTCACATCATCTTATTTAAAACCTAGAGTAAGCTGAAGGCCCAGAGAGATCGTTATTTGTCCAAGATCACAATGAAGGTTAGGAGCGGAGCTTGGATCTAAGCTAGGACTGTTTGATTCCAAAGTCCATGCTAATAATCTACCATGTCTCAGGCCACCAACCCCAGTTCACAGACTTCAGAATGCGTGTTATATTTCCTTAGCATTCTTTCCCCAACCATGGGCCATGCCCCGACCAGTGCCTAGCCATGCCCTGTTCTGCACCACAAGTGCTCCATATATATTTACTGAATGAGTGAAAGTAAATGACTGTGACATCCTGTCATCATGATGAAAGCCCCTTTTTTTCCTTGGGCTGTCCCCAGTGGGGAAAAAAAAGCAGCTGGCAACTCTCTTCCCTGCCCCCAATATCCTTTTCTTACTAAACAATCATGTGGAAGGCTTCCTCTTTCTCCCATGGGTGATTCAGGCTTCAGGTTTCAGAGAACCCCAATAGGCACTGCAATGACTCATCTTCAACAAACATTTGGAGAGATGTCAGGGCCACTGGAACTTTCCAGGGTTCTGTTAACATGCATTAGTGAGCACAAATAATGCCCTTGGATAGCTGTATTTCCATGGATGCCATAACAAAAACATCACAGACTGGGTATCCTAAAACAATGCATTTATACACTCACAGTTTAGGAGATCAGAAGTCTAAAATCAAGGTGTCAGCAGGGTTAATTTCTTCTTTGGAACTCAAAAAGGGATTTCTTCAATGTCTCTCTCCTATTTTCTGGAATTTTCCAGAAACCCTTGGCACACCTTGGGCTATGGGTACATCGTTCTAATTTCTACTTTCCAGGACAAAGCACGCTCCCTGTGTGTCCAAATTTCCTCCTCAAAAGAACACCAGTCCTAGCGCTTTATGCCCATACTAACCCAGGACGACCTCATCTTAACTTAATTATACCTCAGACCCTATTTCCAAATAAGATCACATTCACAAGTACCAGGGAATAGGATTTGAACATATCTTTTCTAGAGGACAGGCTTCAACCGACAACAACATGTTTGGGAGTAGATGGGGAAGAAGGCAGGCGATGAAGAAAGAAGGGGTGGGAGAGACAGCTCACACACTTGTGAAATGGAATGTAGCCTGGGATTCCCCAGGAACGGAA